TCAAAATAGTTCAAATGTTAAAGTTATTCAAAATAACTTGACATTAACGCATAAGTCATACCACTTAAAATGACTTCAATTAATATAATTGTTTTATATAGAAATATAAAGATGTATTAGATAGACAATTTTTTATTAAAATTTAAGATTGAATTATTTTTTAATAAACATATAATTTAAAAATTAATAATTTATTTATTTTCTAGTATATATATATATATATATATATATATATTATAAGTTATGGAATATTATATAAATTTTCCATAATTAATATATAAATAATAATGTTATTATATATTTTTTAACTTTAAATTGTGTTATATAATATATTAATTTTCGTTATATGTGTATGATTTATTATTATTATTATATATTTTATAATATAAATAATAAATTTATTAATTTATTAATAATATAAAATTAAATAAAATATTATTTTATTGAAGTGTGAAAACATAACTAAATTATAAAAAATACATAAAAAAAGAAAAATAAAAATATAATTAAGAATAATAATGAAAGTTACATTTAAGGTAAGACAAAGGTGGACATTCTTATTTCATGTTTTATAACGTATTTTTGGTCTTATAAGTCACTAATAAAAATTATTGCTCTATCGAGATCGTCCAAATTTTATTCCTTATTTTAACATCTGACAAGAAAATCAGAAAAATCTACTATTGGTTGCATTCAGAATAAAATGCATCAATTAATTGTAAATAAACTGGAAAAAAAATATAAATGAAGGATCTAAGCGTGGAAATTATCTATATAAATAATTAAAATGTAATATTTACTTTAAAATAATTTCTTTGTTGAAAGCTAATTCAAATATTTAATGTTTTATTTTTATTCTATTTAATGTAAAAATTAATTTTATTCTACTTCTCATAAATATATTTATATTTTGTATTGTATTGTACTCGTATTGTTTTCACATTCACATATAAATAATTTGTATTGTACTCGTATTGTTTTCACACGTGAATGGTTTATCACATGATTATCCTATATACAATACACAAAATAAAATTAAAAAACAACTTCCAAAATCTTGTTTTAATGATTTTCTTATTTAAAATAAATAAAAGTAAAGTCATTCAATTGATAAAACAATAATATAATACAAATAATAAATTATATTCTATTTATTTATTTTATTTTAATTTAAATCCTTATTAGAATTGAAAATTATTAACAAATAGCATTAACTTAGTTTCTTTGTAATATTTTGCGACTAGGTCGGTGTTATTTGATTATTATGCATGAAAAAAACAACTTGTTATGTAAAAATCATTTTAGTCCATGTAGAAGATGAAACACATTATTAGACATGAAAGTTTAGTACATAATAAAACTATTGTGCAATGTATATTTATCTTTGCGCTTTAGACAATGATGTAGTTAAGGAGGTTTTAATTGAGAAACATTAGTTGAAAACTATTTTCAAACCTTCTCTTAGGCCTAAATAAGGTCTTCCTGAATTTCTTGAAGGACTCCCTTTTAGGTAAGGTCCTATAAATTTATTTTAATTTTTTTAACTTGTTAATTTTATAGTTTTATAAATTAATTAATTTTCTTGAATTCAAATGTATTTTTTTATTTTAAATTTATTTGATTTATATTAATTTTATCTTGTATAGTTTTATAAATTTATTATTTCACTTAAATTTAAATTCATTTTATGTTCTAATTGTAGATTTGTTCTTTAGGCTTATAAAAGTAAGCAGAGTTTAAAAACACGCAAATTCTAAATGAAAATTATCTTATTTTAAAAATTGTGATAACATTAATTATTTATGTGAAATCTTAATAACAATGTTTAATAATAAACATTAATACAAGGTTTGTTTTTTATCAAACTAGGTAAAAATAATAATTATTTACACGATCTGGATGAAGAACTTGTATAATGTTAAGACTATTCTTAATTAATAATGAAAAAATTTTGCTATCTAAAATGATTTTTATATAATTTTTTTTAATTTAAATTAGTAGAAAGGATTTTACTGTTTAAGTAGTACAAGATAACTTAATATTAACTTAGAAGTCATATCACCTAAAACAACTTTTGTTAGTGTAATTTTTCTAGATGAAATTATGTACGACTTTAGACTCTTTTTTTTGTCAAAATTACAACTAACATATTTTTTAGATAAATATATTATTTAAAAATTATTTATTTATTTATTTTTAGTTTATATATATGTATAAGTTATAAAATATTATATAAATTATTTTTTAAATAATTTGTTCATAAATAATATATAAATAATAATGTTATTAGAAATTTAAAAATTATTTAGATAAATTTATTTTTTAAGGCAATTATATTCTTAAAATTTATTTTAGATATATTTTTATATAAACTTTATATAAGTAATATATATGTACAAATATATATAATAATGTTAATATATTTTTTTAACTTTAATTTTTGTTATATATGTATAATTTTTTATTACTATATGTATATTTTGTATAATATAAATAATAAATTTATTAGTTATATTAATAATATAAAACTAATTAAAATACTATTTTAATGAATGAGAAAGATACAAAGACATAACTAAAGTATAAAAAATATATGTGAAAAGGAAAATAAAGAAATATCAATAAGAATAATCATGATGATAATATGTTACACTTAAGTTAAAGATAAATGTGAACATTCTTTTCTCTTGTTTAGTGGTGTATGGATTGTCTTCTAAGTCATAAGTTATCTTCTCATTTGTCAGCCTTTACAAATTTTTTGTTTGGATAAACGATTAAATTTTATCCCATGATTCTTCACATTACAAACTTGGATGAAGTTTTTTTCTTTTTTCAACGTTTATCATATTTATTGTATTTTTATTAAATCTTGAACAATATTTTGTTTTTTAACTTAAACAGGTCTATCCTTGATTTATATTACCTTTTCCATATCAGTAGTTTAGTGTCTCAATGACATTCTCAAATAATTGAACAAAATACTGTATATATTAAATAATCATTATTTTAGGATTACAACATTTAAAAATAAAACCATAATCATGAAGACATTCAATAAAGGTAGCACATTGGATAAGACTATGATAATAAACTATAGTTTCAATAAAAGTATTATGAGGAAGAGCAAGATTTATAAATATAATAAATATAATGTTTTCAATTGTGATATTGAAAAAAAAAATGGAGATGTCTCTTAGAATTAATAGTCAAATATTTAGTAGTCACATGTAGTGTCATTACTATTTACTCACACATATATTTAGTAGTAATGTGTAGTGTCATTGTTATTTACTCACATACACATATATTAAATCCTTCTAAAAAAATAATTTTTTTATATATAAATTACTTAATTATAATGAAAGAAAATTAATCGCTTTGCATTGAATCACACATCCAAAGAAAAATCCAACAAAACCTCCTAATGAAGATTATTGGAAGCATTTCTATGATTTAGTGAATGATAATCAAGTTGACTGTGCAAGATGAAAGAGAGGAATGAAATAAACGAAAATTTATGAAAACCCTAAATATATTTGCTGATAATTACATTTTTTTCATTTATCATAAATTTCTAAAATACTAATTTTTTATGAATTAATTAGGTTTGCAGTGAATATTGATTTTGGTAATTGTGAAAAAGAATCTTTAATTTTTATTTCTCTAAAATTAAAATTTATTATTTTTATATCTAATATTATGTCACATTGATTAATTACTTATGTTATTGGTATTTGGGATATCTTGTGAACATCTTGCATTTCTAAATTCCTTTAAAATTTATAAAGTATATATTTATCTATTTCAAAATAAATATAGAAAAAAAATGATAATTTCAATTTTTAGAAGAATGAAAAAAAATACTTTATGAACTAAATTAAAATTCACTCAGTTTTATAAAAACTAAAAAACATTAATTTCAAAATTAAATGGAATGAAAATTAAAAAATATATATTTTACATAAACTAAAACATATTTAAATTTTTTAAAAGTTCCTTATATATGAGATTACGATAATTTGATCCTATTATCTATTTCCTCCAGCCTAAAATACTTAGTCTATTGCTTTTATTCAAATATTAATAAATTTACAATAATAAGTATGGAGTAATTTTTAAGTGTTTAGAAGTAAAATAAAAACAATTATTAAAAATTTGATATAAAATTAAAATAAGTATAGAATATAAGAGTGAGATTTAAGGAAGGCAATTTTAGTTTTACTTTTTTATTTCAAGTAAAATGTCATTTTGATCGAAAAACTTTGAACAAGATTGGCAAAAAAATGATTAATTTAATTTGCAAATATTTTAATTGAAAATGCAGGTTTTAAAACAGATGGAATTTGACTGACTTTAAAAAATGAGGAAACTTAAATTCACCCAAAAAATTTTTGAAGAAACAAAAGGGTTCACAATCTAAACTAAATAGACCAGAAACACGACTAAGTCAAAATTTACATAAGATAATTGCTAGCTATAAGAAGCGTTTGAAACATTTCTCATTTATATCAAATAACATTGTTTCCCTTGAATCATGAACATTAACTAAGTAGATAAGAAACGAGACAAAAGATTTAAATCCTAACTTCACAGTTTCAAAATTTTCAGTTCAATGAAAATATTGGCAAGATTACAGCAAAGTTGTGACAGAAATAGAGGAACCGTATGTTAATGCTATGCATAATCAACCATTTCATGTTACTATGCAGGAAAAATCTCTAAAATTTCCCAATTAACTCTTTGCATTCTTCATCTTCATTTGTACTATAAAACAAAGCCACCAAAGTAGCATATATGAAATCGCTACACTTCAAAGTAAAAATCATGATCCAAAAAATACACTCCATGCATCAAGTGAATCTACAGCTCTGCTTACCCTTGGCATTATGAGCATATGCTACCAGATTATATAGACTATATACTCAATGCACCACCAACCAAGTACACGTCAAAAGAAGACTCAATTAGAAATTTGAGCATTCATGCAGAATGTGACCACATCATCTATATTTTCCAAGCTCCATCTTCTTCTTGATTGTTCTCTGACCATAATATATTGATGAATCTATGATCCCCGCAACAGTAAATATACCTGCGCAGAAAGGTTGAAATTAAATTTTAATCAGTTGGGTGACATGAAAACATAGATTTCCTTAGTGTACAGAGAAGTGGATTATGAATAGCAAAAGCATTACTTATATCTAGTACTAGTTCATACTAGCCATAAATTATACTAGTTTCATTTAGAGCCTAAATTTTGATACATTGTGTTAGTGTGAAGATTTTTAAACCGTCAACTAATCAGAAATCAGTTTAGATATAACATTTAAAGTAATTTCAGTTCATAATTTTTATCATAATTAGAACAAGGAATTACCTCCAATAATTGCACAAATATTGGTCAGGAAATGTAAAAATGGAATATGTTCCTCTTTAAAGTTGACCTGCAACATAAAACATAACAATTTACTTAGCAGATCCAATACACTTTTCTTTAACTTAAACGACAGTATGCTTCAACAGAAGTATGATGTTGGTTTGTTTATATCCTCTATAATAGATACATATTTCTATTGAATCAGCAGGATGTATCTCATTTTGGGGACAATTTTAAACAAAAAAACATCATCATATGTGCCTAGAATATTAGGATTATTAATCTAGTGTTTACCTGACAAGGACTTGTACTAATAATACCGTAACTTGACCTAATGACAACCCCTGACAACAACTCTTTTCCGCCCCTAATAAATTCTCACTAAAGTACGAAAGGTATCACAATCCTCAAGACATCTGAATTCAGTTAGGGCCACAAATTGACTCTGAATACCTTGGCTCATTTATGACTCAAAATCCGAATGACATGTAAATCAGTATCTTAGGTTCAAGAATCTGATACTAATTGTAAATTATGTATAATGAACAAATGAAGTTTTGACTTGTGTAAGTGCTTTTATTTGCAGTACACTCAGGCAGTGATTATTGTGTCTTCACAAAGAGCAGCAAATTATTTTCATCCTGTGAACATATTCCACTGAAATTTTCTTCCACCAGATCATCCTATCAGTGCAACAACTTTTCACCTCCAGCAGCAAACCTGAACAGTCACTAGCTTAAAACAAAATCTTGCATTTTCCTACTATTTCCCTACTCTTACACCCTTTTATGTTGTTTTTTTCACATAGTGAGAAGAGTTTGATAATATTATCTTTGGTTGGTGTCTGGAAAAGAACTTTCAAATATGAATATTATACCTGTGAAGCTTACAGAGGCCAAGTAATAGTCCAGCATTTTTAAGTTTAAGTATTGATTTTGAATTTTATAACATTAAATCTTAGGATTTACTTTGTTTATCAGTGGAGATGGATAATGTTTAATAGTGCAAAACTACTTTGTGACATAATAATTATGAAAGAAAAATAATTCTATGGTGGGTCTGATGGGGACTAATATAATATTATTGGCTTCTTTTGAATCTATAATAACAAATTTTAAATAGACACAAGCGGCAAAAGTTCAAAACAGGGCCCGAGATATTCACGGGATGGATAGATCATCTGAAATGAAATTGGGAAAGCAGAAAATCAACTATTCATGTTCAGTGTGCATAATTTAGCACTCAACCTCAATTCAAATGTGCCTTCCCCATGCCCATTCACTACATGAGGAAGTGTTTAAAAGGTTATTTCAATGGGAAAACTAAGACTTATGCATGCCTGGCTCCATCAAACTAAACCAGAAAAACACAAACTTCAAAGTGCAGTCCAGGGAAGAAGAAAAAACATCAAGATTACAAGCAATTTGCTAACAAAATTAGGCAATTTTACCTTGATGGGCGATATGTCATAAAAGAAGAAAACTCCAGGAACTGCAACACCCAGCTCTGAACTCTTGAAATGCTCAGTCACAGAATACTGTGCAAAAACATTTATTATGCTACGTAGGCACAAACCAATGAAACAAGAAATGACATATGTTCATAACATTAGCAATACCTGATTTGAATGGATAACACGACCTCTAATGTCTGTGTATATTGTAGGGACCACCTGCAATGTGTACACAAGATACCCAAACAAGCATCAAACCAGAGCATAATTGCATGCACAATATTCAAGCAATTAGAACAAAGCATAAATGTTGCAATATTTTATAGCAAATATTCAAAATGTTTTTGCTGGTCCTCTTGTAGCATTGGCAAGACAAATGCTAGAATGGACTAGAGTTTGTAGAAATGAATGAAGTATATTAACCAAAAGAAAAGAGAAAAGAGAAAAAAAATGCAAAATATCATCTTATAAGAAGTGCTGCTACAAAATAAGGATAAAATACAGATCCATAATTATAATGAGTACAATATCAATATGAAAACTTGATAGTTAAGTTTCCACAAAAGTATTAGCATAACCCAAAATGTCAAATAAATTAAATGAATTTAACATCATCAAAAAGTAATCAGTTAATAAACTTAACATGCAAACAAAATCTTTAATTAGGAATATATTCCTTGAGATCACTAACCTTTATGAAATACTGGTATATGCCATGAGTTGGTCCTTGCACCCACTTTACACTGCAAAGGATTAGGAGAAAAAAAATTTAGTCACGGATTTTTAAAATGCTATTAACTAAGTATAATACAGAACAAAATAACTTTGCAATGGTCAAATTAAATGCTCTGAGTAGAGTAAAGAAAAAGTGAAAAATAAATAAACAATTTGCTGCTTCTACAAAAAAAGTTCACTGCAAGGTTTCATTGTAGCAATAATCTGAAAAATGAATTGTGTGTCTGTATGTGCATTGTAATAGATATAAAACCAATCTTAAACCTTTTACCTACAATAGCTTAAATTTTAGATATAGTTGGCTTGGTCCTAGAGATGTATTGCATGTGTCTGGGCATTAGTTCAAATTTTAGGTACATCAAAATTAAGAATTACTCTGCCCCTCCCCTGAATTTTGCATTTTGCGTTTTCAATAAAGACCTAATCTATTCATAACTAATACAAAAGGCAGAGGACACAATTTCAAGACGCTGCTAAGCATAATAATTGTAATGCAGTTATAAGTTATAACTTATGAGATTAAATTTTTTTAATATAATATTTTCATAAAAGATGTAATATCTTTTAGTTTTTTTTTTATCTCATATTAATTATGTCAACTTTAAATAATAATTATTTTATTATATTTTTATCTTATTTTAATAATTATTCATCTTTCACTCTAATATACTTTATATTTATAATTTTTATTGTATCATAGCAGTAATCTTTATTACTTTTGTTACTTTTTGTAAAATATATTATTTTATTCATTTTGGTTAGATCCAATTGAATCTTTAAACCTGAACCCATATGTCTTCCCCAGTTAAGTGAAGTGACCTCTCCGATTTTAAAAACATTGGTTTTAACTAATATAATGAAAATTTGATTTAAGTTTTAATATAGAGGGGAAAGTAGTTTACTTCAGAATTTCATTCTATATTACAAATCTCAGCATGTTAAAACACTAATAGCCCATCCTTGACACCAGAAAACAAAACCGTCTACTGGAGAAGAAAATTACCCGTCAAGAGGATTAACCAATCCAGGGAAATGGTGACCAAAACTTAATTTGTTGATTCGATGACTTATCTACATCATATTTTCAAAATCAGCCATCAGATTACAAGGGAAGGAAAATCATCAGAAATATATCAAAATTTTCAAAATATGATACATAATTCCCGCAAAGGATACTAAAAAATCAATTCAGTCTTACATTATAATGATTATCCTGTAAAGCAAGCAGATCGGCCAGAAATATAGCAGACTGAAGAAAGCTTTTGCCAGTTGCAAAATGAAAATTTCCTGCCACTTTATTAACTTCAAGAGTTCCTTGAATATTGCATCCTTCACCTTCTTCATCCTTTACCCTTTGCACATAACCCTCTCTTTGACACTAAAACAAAACCAAAGCATCAGAATGCAATATACCTCTCCAAAAAATTCAAACATTAGGACAAAGTACACAAGTCCAGTATGATGAACATAAGGATCAGATTTCATTCAGCCAAGAACTCAGAAACACGGTATATCATGAATCATGGTTATAGAATAAGGTATAGTGAAGCCTTCTCATTGTTGTTGTTAGCCTCCACGTCTAAGTTTTTACAAATTATAATAAATATGCTTCAGCAACAACATACATAAATATGTACAGCCTCACAAGTGAGGCATTGGAATCCACAGAAAATGCCAGTGTTTATAGTGCAATAGAAAGAGAGTATCAAGCCAACCTGATCAATCAAATCCATATTTGACAGTGCCCATCCCTTTTTCCTATATGCTTCACGCACTTCTTCACAAGAATTACAACATTGTTCATCTGACTGCATGAAAATGAGCAAGAGAGAAAGCATAGACTTAAAAGAAATTATGAAACAATTGGAGAGAATAAGTTGCACTGACATGAAAGTTTACAAATACACAGTAAAACATACGGTTTAGACAGCATATTGGACTACTCAAATGAAAGCATTAATAAATACTTATGAGATCTTTGCACAATAAATACTACTGTGTTAGTCAAGCCAAAAATATTTATCCAGCATCCCCCAACCATGCAACACCATAAACATTGGGACCAGCCTAACATTGTCTACAATATAAATACATTTAATAAATGAGTGTCATTTGGATTTATCATAGTTATTGACATTGTTACTGAAAAGAAAAGTTAAGATAAATTTAGTATTTAAGAATAAGCAAAGAAATAATATATATTTCTATTTTTTAAACTTAACAAACATGAGAACTTTGATGGCATACAAGGCATAGAACAGAAATTGAATACACCAAAGGCAAAACTGTTACTGATGAGAAAAATACAGGACAAAAAACACATTTAATGCATAAGATATGTTTAATTATGTTTTTAATCCCTAAAATTTGGGGTCAATCCAGTTTTGATATCACAAATTAAAAAAATATGTCTCATTTTATTCCATCAAATTTGAAAAATAAAATGTTTTAGTACCTTAGCACTAAATTTGAGGGACTAAATTGAATTCACCCCCTGATTTCAGAGACTACAAACATAATTAAGCCTATAAATAATTATCTAATCATGTAAAGTAATAAACTGTATTTTTATTGATATATTAGACCAGGGCTTCAAAACTGTAACTCACAAGAAAGGTTCACAGTAGTTTACAAAAAAAATAGACCAGTGCATAAAAAAGATCACATATATTTTACAAGATATCAATATTAGTCGGATAACTCCCATACAAACAGCCAACTGAGAAAAAGTGAGGATTAAATGCTTGTGGTCTTTTAACGTCTTTCTTTAATGAGGTATGAGCCTTTTGGCACCTCTTGTGACAAGGGATTAAAAACTCTCTAGAGCCTTAAGGACACACTTCACTTTGATTACCTTGTTTAGATCCAAAACTTGTTCCCAGTCAAATCTCACCAAATTATGTCCCTCGACACCTAATTTCTCCCTTTTTAAAAGCATTAACTCCTTAATACCATTTAAATAAATAATAATAAACTATAGAACATCTTAGCCTTGACAGCCCCACATTGAGACCCAAAACATGTTACGATGGTCACAAAATTATAAGAAAGCTGAGCTAATTTAATTAAAGGTCAGAGCTACCTCTTCTGCACCAAAACATGAACCACAATACTTCTCATCATGTGCAAGTCTACCACCATGTTTTTGTAAGGGTCTCTCAATCTGCATAAGGAAGTATATACAGGAAACAAAAGTGTAAATTCATTATACATGATATGAATAGTGACCTTTGTCTCCCAAATGACAAACGTAACAAATTAGTAGAAGCAAGGGGTACATAGACATTTACAACAATTGCCTTTAATTTATGCCAGTATTGATAAAGAATTGAAGAGGTACGAACCAAGATCCAAAAACAAAATCTCATCAAGGCAAACACACCAGCTGATCAAACGCAAATATAAACAACTCATTACTGTGTATGATACCATAGATCAAAATCAAATTATAAAACAATTCAAACTAGAGAATCTGTTACTTCCTATAACCACTGAGAAAATCAATCTACAAGAAAAATGATCATAGAGATTCAGCAATACAATACCAAACCCAATCCAACCAAAGTAATAAGAGTATCTTTTCGAACATCAGAACAACAAATTACCAGTGACAACCATCCAGTCTAAAGGTTCTTTTTGCCAGCAGATACTCAACATCCCCACAGAAAAGTTTGTAAGAGCTTCATTGATATGCAACAATCATGCTATCATCCATATTCCATTCCTTCCTTGACTAAGAAAGCTTATCTTTATGCTAAAGATCTTTCACATTAAATATCAGAACATTCCAAGCTGATAGCTAACATGAAGAATCTAACTAGCCAAAACCTCTATTCTACTAGTCATGCATATTATATTACACCAACTACTAGTCATCCCTACAAATATAAGAATCGCATGCATAAGTAAGGCCTTTCATTTCAAGCAGCTCAGTGCAATATTAAGTCATAGCTAGTATAGTTCTCCAGTACTGAAAAAGTATGATTGTGTTTCAGGCTAGCATTTATATTAACAATAATTCCTCTTAATTTGCATTAAAATACAACAAAATTATAAATAAGGTAGCCTTATCTCACAGCACAGATCTATCAACTGATGCCTTTGGATCTAACAAAACATAAATTCAACATGGTTCTCCAATACTACAATCTTTTATCATGGTTTCTCCTAAAGTTATCATCATCAATCATCCTCCACAACTTTTAGCTGGACTTTCTTCCATTTTATTAACTTTTCACACATTTCCAAACCACATTCAGCGAAGTTTAGTCATCTCCTTGATAGGTTCTTTTATGACTCTTACTTTCTACCAATACATCTGTTCCTCCATTCTTGTATCCACTCATTTACCTCAACATTCTGATCTCAACTACACTTTTTATCTTAGAACCCCCAAGATTCACTACTATACAACAACAACAATAACGTCTTAACCCACTAGGTGAGGGCGACTACATAGATCACAATACACGACTCGGTTCAGTTAAACTAAAGCTTCAAGAATATTATTTAGCCCAAGATCCCTTGATGATTTCCTCCAATGTCCTTTTTGGTCCCTTAATCATGCAATCTACTCTTTTAACTGGTTCTCTTGTGGACTTCTTTGTAGGTGTCCAAACCACCGCAACCAATTTTCTGTCATCTTCCACTCAATGGGTGTTACACCAATCTTTTCTCATATATAGTCATCGTGTATTATCTCCTTTCTTGTATGACCACAAGTCCATCTTAACATTCTCATTTCTGCTATTCCCACTTATTTTTCTCATGTTCTCCCTTTAAAGCCCAGTATTCACTACCATATAGTATAGCTAGAAGCATAGTTGTGGAATAAAACTTGTCTCTGAGTTTGGTAGGTACCTTGCAACCACAACAATAGTCACTACTGCTATAGTGACTTAAAAATTGGTACATTTGAAGAACTCCTTAGTTAGAAGCAGCACTCATTTGAGCACAGATATTGAGTTCAAGGTTGAAAACACACACTTTTAAAAGTAAATCATAAATATTGTAAAGGAAGGTTAAGCGTCAAATAGATAAAATTCTGTGGTACACACTAAGCAAGCAACCGTTATGCAGTAAAACAGAGCCCAGGTATTTCAGCTAACCTTTGGTGCACCGATTCCATCCTTCCTCTCTTCAATCACATTTCCATTAGCATCAATTCTTCTTTTCATTATATTATGTCGCTGCAAATAGAAATAGTGTAGTGTGAATAATAATTAATAACTAACAATGGTATGAGCATGAGACTTGGGGGATGACAGATAGACAATAAGAATAAATGCATTGCAACGAACATACTATGTCAAGGTGTTGCTCGCCACTTATATCCATTGCATCTAAACTGAGTATTGAACACCGAACAGCAGGAAAAGTGACATCGAACTGCATTTACCAGGGAAAAAAAGAATCAAATTTTTAGTATGAAAAGGTAATGTCAGTATTAAGACTCTAATGCTGGAAAACTTAGAGAATGCATGAAGGTACAAGGCAAACAAAAAATAAATCATTTGGAATTTAAAAAAAAAAAAAAAAAGGAATAAGGCGCTTATACAAGTTTTATTTACAACAAATAACCAAACTAATAAATTTATCACAAAATAGTATTGTACAATCCAGGAATCATAACATGATTCATAGATTGGGCTTGGAATATGAAGATCTGAATTAAACTATAAAAAAACAACAAATATAAGAACAATAATTACATTGATGTGCAAGGTATCTCCTCTTGAAGTATCCACCAAAAGCTTACTCTCTGTAACTGTGTAGAGGTATAAATCTGCAATCAAAGGTAACAGATAATATTATTACAGTTTAATGGGAAAGACAGTAGTCACATATGCAGGCAGCAAGGTAAATGATTCAGACAAAAGCCAGCCTCGCTCATTTAAGATCACTCACAATTTTTTTCTAAGACTGGGTCTATTCTTTTTATCTCTATATAAAACTAGCAGTAGTTAAATAGCCATCATACGATAAATGCAGAAAAATAAGCTTTAACTGGATAAAAGCGTGGCACTAGCATTAGACCATCACTAATTTGTGCCAATAATTTATAACATTACCCGTGTCATACATATCAGGTTTATATTATCAGAATATTTTCTGTGACATGAATCAGTGCACCCAAAATTAAAGGCCAGAAAAACCCTCCTTTTCGGAAATCCTTAACATGCCATCAACTAAACTATTGAATCAATGGATCTAGGTCATTATTGCCTTGGAACTCTCAACTCTCAACCATAAATTTATTATAAACATGGAAAATGCTCGGAAGAGAAAGAGGGTGAAAGAAAAAGCTCTCGTTCCGCCCAAAACGAATTCTTCCCTTTCCTAATTCCTAAGTTCCCTCACCACTCAACAAAAATACATTTCAAATTCAGCTCAATGAAACAATATTCCGAAGCACAGGACGCATAATTAACACAATCTCACCACTTCAAAATCAAATCCCACTTTTAAATTTCCCACCTTTTCCCACCAGCCAAGAAAAGAAGATAAAAATTCCAACAATCAACAAAAATCAAAAGAAAAAAGAAAAACAAAAGCAAGAGATGCAGGCCATACTTAGCTCGGAAAAGAAGAGGAAGAGCATGACGGCGGCGGAAACGACGGTGACGACGCCGCCGGCGAGCGTGCGATTGTAAAAATCCTCATTGACTTTTGGGTAAGCGTCCAAATTGCGGAGCTTGTTGAAGACTTTATCCATGGATGGTCGCCGAAACCTCACAAGCACCCACCTTTCCGAGAATATTAAGCGATGAACGGCGCTCCGTCAGCGACGGTGGCCGGAGAATAGCGCGTGGAAGGAATGGGTTGTTGAAGAATGAAGGAAGACCGAAACAAACACTAGATCATATGACCTCTTATTCAAGGTCAAGTTAGTCAAACATGCCGTCTAAAACCCCTTTTTTTCAAAAACATTTTCGAATGATTGGTAATATTTAGCATTTTAAATTTGGAAATGAATTCTCGAAATTATATTTAACCGATTACGGCTATCACAAAGTGGATAAAAAGAACTTTTTGAATTGATGATTATGCTCAAAATCCACAAAAATAGCGTATTAACTGATTTTTCTTGTTTCTTAAAATACGTTTGCTTCATCGGTGAAAAACGAATCTTTGCAGATTGGTTGGTGTTAAAAGGTAGAATTTTCTTCCACTTTTGTGTATACACAATTAGTGACATCAAATCTAATTTTATAGTTACAGATTTTATATTTTTTGTTTTGTTAATTAAAGGAGAGAAACATCATTCTGTTTAAAAATTGTTTTTCTTGTGTTTTAAATGTACCAGTGCACCGAAATTTTTATTTAACCCACAGCCTGTGTTTCAAAGTATCTATTATTTGCGTAGAAGAGAAAAACGGATTTGAGGGAGTGAAAAAGATGACCCTGGAAAAGCTATATATAAAAAAGAGAATGAAAGGAAAGTTACACCCTAATGTAATATTTATGTGCATGCATGCATACACATTTAGATAATGTAACATTCAAATTACTCTCATTCTGCCCAGTATATCTAAGAAAATGTAACATTTGCATTTCTTTATGCATGACACGCAGGAGATCGTTTCCCAGGTTACATGTATTTCTTTTATGTAAGAGAATCGTGGTTGTACGTGTTGAAGAATACGTGTAGAAGAATACGTTGCAATTCAACCACAACTCTCACGTGTAAAAAAGCAAGGAAAAAAAAGAGAAGTAGAATAAAATTACACTATTGTCCTCTTTTCATAATCCATAAACATAAATAGTAGATAATGCAACATTCACATCTAGAAAATTGTTTCAAAGGCCGCATGCATCCCTTTCATGCAGGGGAATCATGATTGTGCTTGCAGAGGGATGTTGCAGTTCAACCACAAGGAAAATGAGAGTGAAACAATGAAAAAAAGGAGAAGGAGAGTGAAGTTATATTTTTGTCAGCTTCTCATAATCTATAAACATAAACAGTAGATAATGCATATGCAAAAAAGTGATGAAAGAAAGATGAAGTGAAGTTACACTCTTACCCTCTTCTCACAATTCATAAACATAAATAGTAGATAATGCACATGCAAAAAAGTAATGAAAGAAAGAAGAAAGAGAGTGAAGTTACACTCTTATCCTCTTCTCACAATCCATAAACATAACACAATAGATAATGCAACATTCACATGGCTTTGTGCATACATGCAGCGCACCCACGGAATCGTTTCAAATGCCGCATGTATTCTTTTCATGCAGGGAATCATAGTTGTGCTTACAGAGGGAATCGTTGCAGCTAAACCACAACCCTCACATGTAGCTACAGTTGTTTCCTTGTCCCAGCAAGCGAGAGTCTCATTAAATACATGAGTTGGTTTGGTGTGTGGTGGAGATATTTAGCCGAGAAACTGACAGAAAATCATTTCAAAGGCTGCATGCATCCCTTTCATGTAGAGGAATCATGGTTGTGTTTGTAAAGGGAATTGTTGCAGCTCAACCACAGCTCTCACATGTAACTATAGTTGTTTTCTTGCCTCAGCAAGCGAGAGTCTCATTAAATACATGAGTTGATTTGGTGTGTGGTAGTGATATTTGGTCAAGAAACTGGCAAGAAATCGTTTCAAAGGTTGCATGCATCCTTTTCATGTAGGGGAATCATGGTTGTGCTTGCAAAGGGAATTGTTCCAGCTCTACCACAACCCTCACATGCAGCTACAGTTGTTTCCTTGTCCTAGTAAGCGAGAGTTTCTTTAAATACATGAGTTGGTTTGGTGTGTGGTGGTGATGTTTGGCCGAGAAACTGACAGGAAATTGTTTCAAAGGTTGCATGTATTCTTTTCATGTAGGGGAATCATGGTTGTACTTGCAAAGGGAGTCGTTGCAGCTCTACCACAACCCTCACATACAGCTATAGTTGTTTCCTTGTCCTAGCAAGTGAGAGTCTCATCAAATACATGAGTTGGTTTGATGTGTGGTGTGTAAAACATTATGTAGTTTTCCTACGTTCTTAATTCATTGTAGAAAACTACTCTACAGGATCTTTAGATTATTGATTTTCACAATTTTACATACATCAATACATGAATCATAGTAAGAAGACTAACCTTGATCCATGAGAATCTTTTCTTTGATCTTTTCGTTCTCCTATCTCCTTTTCCCAATCTATCTCTTTGTCTTTCTTTCTCTTCTCACGCTTCGCTTTCTTGATGATTTACCCTGAAAAAATCTTATGGCCAGAGACAGAACCCTAATCCCTTTTATTAACCAACTTCCATCAAGTTGGTTACGTAAGTTAATATTTTATTTTATCTTTATTTTATTCTGACTTCACATAATAACCAATAGGTCCTTATAATTTATTAAATCACATTTGGGCCTATCATTATATTTCATATGAGTCACATAATGGAATGAATTAATTAAATTAATTCTAACATTCTCCCACTTGACTCATGTGATGTCATACGATTTTGTGATTTAATACTTAAGTCATAATGCGCATTAAAGGACCTTACATAAATTGGTTATATCATTATTCATAATTAAAGATACAGCTATAACAAGAGTCATGACGGTTACATGTCATTCAATCGACAGGCTCCCTTCCATGTACCACTATATTATCTCTTTCTCCTTAATATGACTTTATAATGAGAAGTCCATAATGGGTTCAAACATAATATCATTTTAAAATAATAACATAATTTGTTTTCTTCATCATAATTTGCATGCATATAAATAAAGAAGAAAACACAAATTTCAGAAACTTATACGTTAAAGATCTCAGAGTGTCACATAACATTAATAATAACATTAACATTCAACATTCACTACTAGTAAACATAATGCCCATATTTACTATATGACCAGCAAACAACTTGGGTGGTAATTCCTTTGTTAAAGGATCAGCAATCATAAGATCAGTGCTAATATGTTCTATTGACACTCTTTGTTTCTGAACTTCTTCTTTAACGGCAAAGTATTTCAATTCCATATGCTTAGCACCTTTGGAATACTTGTCGTTCTTAGAAAAGAAGACTGCTGCGGAATTGTCACAATAAATTTTCAGCGGCTTGGCAATGCTGTCGACTACTCCAAGTCCTGAAATAAAATTCCGCAACCAATTAGCTTGAACTGTGGCCTCAAAGCATGCCACAAATTCAGACTTCCATGGTGGATGCAAGCAATGATAGATCGCTTCGCACTTTTCCATGAAATCGCTCCTCCGGCTAAAAGATACACATAACCAAATGTAGACTTTCGTGTATCCATACAACCAACAAAATCGAATCAGTATATCCAATCACCTCAAGGTGATCAACTTTCCTATAAGTAAGCATGTGATTCTTTGTTCCTTGTAAGTATCTTAAAACTTTCTTTGCAGTCTTCCAATGATCCAGTCCAGGATTACTCCGGTATCTACCAAGCATACCAACTCGCAAAGCTAATATCCGGCCTCGTACATGTTTGAGCATACATCAAACTCCCAACAACGAGATGCATAAGGGATATTCTCCATCTGTTTCCGTTCCAAGTCATTCTTTGGACATTGCATGAGACTAAATTTGTCTCCTTTCGTATTGGAATGGGAGATGCGGAACAATTCTCCATTCCGAATCTCTCTAAAACTTTATTAATATATGCTTTCCGAGACAAACCTAACAGTCCTTGTGATCTATCACGGAATATTTCTATTCCTATCACATAGTATGCCTCACCCATATCTTTCATTTCAAAGTTGTTAGAGAGAAACTTCTTTGTCTCACTTAATAGACCAAGATCATTAGTCGCAAGCAAGATATCATCAACATACAGAATCAGAAATATAAACTTACTCCCACTAACCTTCAGATATATACATCGATCAACAGTGTTTTCCTTAAATCCAAAGGACAAAATAATATCATTGAACTTAAGATACCATTGTCGAGAAGCTTATTTAAGTCCATATATTGATTTCTTAAGTTTACACACCATATGTTCCTTTCCTTCTTCAATAAACCCCACTGGTTGATTCATATAAACATCCTCCTCTAAATCTCCATTCAGAAAAGCAGTTTTAACATCCATTTGATGCAACTCAAGATCATAATGAGCTACTAATGCCATGATAATTCTAAAGGAATCTTTCTTAGAAACAGGTGAAAATGTTTCCTTATAATCAATGTCGTCTTTCTGAGTAAAACCTTTGGCAACAAGTCGGGCCTTGTAACGTTCGATATTGCCATGAGAGTCACGCTTAGTCTTAAAGACCCATTTACACCCAACACTCTTACATCCTTCCGGCAATTCCACAAGATCCCATACACCATTATGTGTCATTGATTTAAGCTTATCTTTCATAGCATCTAACCATTTATCGAATTATCACCATTAATGGCATCCGAAAATGAAACTGGGTCATTATCAATACTTAGGTCATTTTCTCGACTCTTGTACATAAACCACGTAATCATTCGAAATAGCAGACTTTCTTTCTCTCGTGAGATCTTCTTAATACTATTTCCTGTGGTTGTTCTATTATCGGATCATTGTTAATCGCAGGATCATTAATTTGTTGTTCTTCTTGATTGTCGTGTGATTCTACAACATTCGGAACAACAACTCTTGAAGATGTACTAGTTATTGGAACTTGTACTCTAACTTCCTTAATCTCCACATTTCGTGAAACTTCACTCCCACTTGGTTTCACCATTTTCAATGAACCGAGCATTTTCAGCTTCAACAATTCTTGTA